TGCAGATCAACTCATTCAAGTTTCACGACACATTTGTGTGTTATTTTCCAGGGACGCTGAATCTTGTGTAGAAACTATATATGTAGTATATTTAGGAAGAATAGATTCATATGAAATATTGTTTACATGCTTTAAAGTCGGTGTAATTACTTTTTAGTAATTTCCACCAGCCATGTTTTTAGTTCATTCTTGTTCATACTTCTCACATCTAAAGTTGAATTACTTTTCAAGTAATTTTCGATAAAAGCGTAAAAGCTGAAACCTTCTGACACCAGTTGACTTTTCTCATAAAGATCACTCATCATCTCGTCCTCGAAATAAAACCTGATAACGAACCTTGACAAGAGATTAAGGTTCTCATCAGTTAGACATTTTCAAAAGTTTTGTCCTTTTGAAAATGTCTTTATATTAAGATATACACAATCAATAACCATGATAAATATTTACACACAATGTAGGATAAATAAACCACGTTACTGATGGATTTATTCCACTGATGGAAATCTCTGCCTCACACCATCTACTCAGTGCAAATTAAACCAAAAATATATATATTCCTTGATTAAGTTGCACAATAATCAATAAACAAACAAGTGCATGAAAATATAACACAAAATGACATTAGTTATTGCTGCTGCACATCTACAGCTCTGTGTAAACGAGTTATTTACACACATTTTCTACCCAACTATTTAATACAGTCCTGACTATGACCCCCCCCCCCCCCATTTAAAAGAAATCACCTAATGAAACGATGTTGGACATGAAGGTAATTCACAGGAGGAAAACGGGACATTAGCTTCCTCCTCTGTGATTGGCTGTGGGGCCGGAGTCACCCGGAGAGACGGAGAGACAAAGCGCGCTTTAATTCCCTCGAGCCGCATGAGGAACCATTATCTTCTTCTTCCCTCATCAGATTGGAAGCAGGTCTGATTCGGCCTTAATCGAGCTAATCTCCCCCGCTGGTTTCCCACAAAAAAGAAAACTGTCCGCAGTTCAAATCACTTCCTGCCTGAAGAAGAATATCGGTCATTTTCTTTTAGCACCGGGACTCTTATTAAGAGACATCTCTAATTCTGTCTCCGTCTCTCCGAGGGGTCCACGCGAGGAGGTGGAGGAGGTGGAGGAGAAAAGGAGGACCGGGGCGTCGTCGTGTGATGGGGGTTGCCTAGGCGACGGTCCGGCGGCGGCCCCGGGATCAGGGGCGGGTGGGGCTGACGGAGAGAGGGAGCGGGTGGAGGGGAGAGATGAAATTGCATTCCATTAGTGCTAATACGCAGACATTAAGAGGCCTGTCTGAGGCGCGCTAACGACCGCCGCCGCTAATTCATCCAATCGGCTCGCGAGCAGGATCCTCGCCCGCTATTACCGGGTGATTGACGTGAAGCCGGGGGGGCTTTGTTTTAAAACGGAGCTCAGGAGGAGAAAACCTTGGCGTCTTGTTCCACATGTCGGCCATGTTGTTCCACACCAGCTCCGTTCCTGCTCCTCACTTCACTTCTGATTCCAGCGCGAGGATCAATACTTGACTCTACACATGACACATGATCGATCCAAAAGCCACGCCCACAGGAATGCAAAGAGGTGAACAGGAAGCGCCAGGTGAACCAAATGACCCACCTGTGCACCAACCAATCAGGACGGAGGAGATCCAGGGGGAGGATGACCTCGACGCGTTAAATATCCATATGTACAAACACACGTGTGTGTATGTTTGTAGTATATTTACGTGCTCTCGCTCCGCCCCCCCCTACAACAAGCCTCAGGTGTGAGGAATAACTGGCCATCTTGTGTCACACTTAATGTCACATTTTTCTCTGCTCACTTCAGGGACAAACGCCCCGTCCTCATGCTGCAAAGCATTCTGGGCTCTTGAGACGAAGGGAAAGAACGTAGGATTCATCTTTTTAGAAAACAAAATGTTTCTTATTGTCCCCTGAAATAAAGAGATCATTTGTTTGACAACGTCCTGATCATTCAGGAGATGAGGGGAAGACGAAGAGGAAGACAGGACGTATAGGAGGTGAGGACAGGACCAATGAAAGACAGGACCTAGGAGATAAAAACCGGATGAAGACGATTTTGGATGCTTGCATGGACGGATGAAGCACAACCCCCCTTCTCGAAGACAGGACAGTTTGAACAAAGACAGGACATGTAAGATGAGGAAAGGAAATAGGACATAGGACAAGTACAGGATTTAGGTCTTGATGAGGACAGGAGGTAGGAGGTGAAGACAGCACGTAGGAGTGAGACGTGTTGTCTTGAGGAATCTGCATCTTGTCGTGCTCTCAGTTATACTCAGATCATCTTCATCATCGTTGTCTTCCTCTGTCCTCAAACAATCAATTATCGTTTCATGTCTTCATCTTCGATCATCAACAAACAGAAGCTCTGAGATGTGAAAAACAACAACAAACAACAATCGTAAGATGAATGTGTTCTGTAAGCTGTGTCTCGTCAACATGTGAGAGAGGGTGGAGGAGGAAGGGGGGGGCAAAAGATTGAGGGTGGCGGACAGAGGTTGGAGGGTGGAGGACTGATGGTAAAGGATGGAGGACGAAGGACTGAGGGTGGAGGACGAAGGACTGAGGGTGGAGGACGAAGGACTGAGGGTGGAGGATGAAGGGGGGGGCAATTTTCAAGCGGCTGCTGGTGCCTTGAGTAGTTTACGCTTTCTGCGTTTTCAGAGACGCAAGGGACACGCAGACGCAAGAGTCCCTTGCGTCTGCGTGTTCCTTGCGTGCGTCGAGCCATTTTTGTAGACAGACATAGACCATAAAGTCTATGATAAATAAATAAAGCCACCAACGACTTCCACACACAAAGACGTGACTCTCTAGGTCGTCTTCAACAAAACACGTGACTCCACCTGTTGGAGGTGAATCGCTCTGCAACACACGCAGGACTCTTGTGTCTGCGTGAGAAGACGCAGACGTCAGCCTTAACGCCGTAGTCTAAAAGGTCTGACGCAGACCCGGGGCCCCCACACTGCAACTCATGGCGATCTACCGAGTAGCGGATCGTAGTGTCTCCACCACCAGCGTCCCTTGGGAGAACCTCTCGTTCTACCGCAGGGTCTCACAGGCTGACCATCGGTTTGGGTCCTGGTTCTGGTTCTGTTGCCCTCCTTCTCCCACTGGAGCTCCGACTGTTGGTCCAAAGATGCGGGCCAGCCGGATCTGGGTCTGTCCTTGGTGGACTGGTCTCTGCTGGAGGATCTGGCTCTGTCCACAGTGGACTGGTCTCTGCTGGAGGATCTGGGTCTGTCCTTGGTGGACTGGTCTCTGCTAGAGGATCTGGGTCTGTCCACAGTGGACTGGTCTCCGCTGGAGTCTGAGGAGAAGAAGGTTCTGGTGGAGTTGCTTGAGCTCATCTGGTTTCACCAGAATCATCTTGCCGATGATCTTGGACCAGGACTTAAGTGAGACTGGTTCCCACAGAGAGGCAGGACAGAGAGAGACCTCCTCTTCCTCCCCTCGCCGTCTTTTTATCTTCCTCTTCTCTTCTCTTCCTCTCAGACTTGTTCAAATAGAAATAAAAGGTAGAGACAACAGAGGCGGTGCAGAGAGACGCGCGCGCGCGCGCGACCTTTCTCCGCGTGCGCTCACGTGACGTGTTGACATATGGACGATAAGTTCCACGAGGCTCAGACACGAGACGAGGAGCTGTGAGAGATTAATGCGCCATTAACTGATAATGTGTATAAATACACACAAACAGAGTAAACGGGATCAAACAACAACGCGAATTAATAAATAAAATGAGCTCACGTGTCTCACGTCTCCGGCTTTTCTCTTTATATGTCGAGCATTGTTTAAAAAGGCAAACTGCATTAAATCTGAGGAGACGTGAAATGGAATCCTATTGTTGTTGTTGTTGTTGTTGTTGTTAGGTTGACACATAACCACATAAATAGGGCCGTTAAGCTAATAAATACAAACGATCATAAATGAAGAAATAATGTAAATCAGTCAATAATGCATTTGTAATAACGTTAAAAATAATAATGATAATAATATATATCATACAGCAGATTTTGAGCTCTGTTAAATAATGAATAAATACATGTGTGGGTGCTTGTTTCTGCAATAATGACTATTATAGAAATAATTAGAGAATTTCTTTAGACAAAAAAATACGATAATTTAAAAGAAAGATGAGGTTGAATTTATTTCATGAATTACACAATATATTAAAGATGAAAAATAATGAATAACCACGTCAAACATACCTTAAAATATAACTGCTAAATGAAATACATATGAAGTGAAAGGTAATATTTCCACTCTTCGTAGTTCCTCTTTGACTCGTTCCGTCATGGAATAAACTCCTGGCTGTGATATTAAAACAGCAACACAAATACGAAGCGTCCCGATGGTTCTGCTGACCCGGAGGTTCTCATGCGGCGGCTCGGCCCCCCCGCGGGGCCCCTGTGAGGCCGCCACGAGGAGCCGGAGAGGTGTCACACGGAGGCGGCTTTGTGGTCCGGGGATCGCCTCAGCGCCTCCTTCCTCCTCCTCCTCCTCCTCCTCCTGCAGGCCGGCGCGCCGGAGCTTCTCACCGGGCACAACGAGAAGAAGCGAGCGGCTCCAAATGAGAGAATGACAAACAACACTTCAAATGTGATACGGGCACAAATAATGCACGGTGGAATATTTACTTCGATTCTATTTCAATACACAACAACTCATGTGGATCAAATTCTACTTCTTCTAAATTATAGTATTTTACCTGCTTTTTAAAAATACATTGTACTTATTTTATTTGGGAAACAATCGTCACATTTAAAACAAACGTGTAAAAGTGCTGAACTTCGAATTCAAACATATTATTAAAACCTCACCATGAAAAAATAAGAGAACTTAGATAAATGTAGATATTTTTAAAATAATTTTATTATTATTACATATTTGCATTGTTATTTTTTTATATTTTTTATTTTTATGAAGAACATGATCTCAATGGTTTATTTGTGCTACACATTTCAAGTATTCACATTTCAAACTATTAACTGTTATTAACGACATGTGTTTATTTAAATAGCATTGATAGATTGTTCAAAATAGAAATATAATCATCTTTAACAGTTTAAAATAACTTGACATTCAGTTCAAACAATAAGAATTATTGCTCCCAATTTGTTTTTGTTTTTAATAATGCCATATATATATATATACATATATATATATACACACACACATTTCGTATTTATTCTACACAAATATGTATTTAAGAAGTCTTGATTGATCATTTTGGCCTTTTGAAAGTCGACAAAATAAATACTGTTTGTATTAAACAAATAAAGAAAACATTTATTTCAAAACCAGCAAACGAACCTGATCTAAGAATTAAATGTTAAAACTGTTACACACAATAAGTGCAAACGGGTTGTTATTACATTTGAGTAATAACGTGATTATAATATAGTTTTTATCATGAACACAGATCTATGCAGCTGCTCATTTACACGCGCGTGACGGCTTTCACAGCGTGCGCGTGCGTGTGAGAGAGTGTGTTTTGTGTGTGTGTGGGGGGGGGGGGGGGTCAGCTGTAGAGAAACCAGAAACAACTCCTTCTTCTTCCTCTTCCTCCTCTTCCTCCTCTTCTTCTTCTGCGGTGGTTCTTGTGGTTTTGGTTTGAAACGAAGAGGATTTGAGCCGCGGAAGAAGAAGAAGAAGAAGAAGAAGAAGAAGAAGAAGAAGAAGAAGAAGAAGCTGAAAACTTATTTTGCCCCTCGCTTATCTCTCTTTGCCCTCTCTCCCTCTTTATCTCCCCCTCCCTCTCTTTATCTCCCTCCATACCTCCCACTGTCTCCCCCTCTCTCGCTCTCTCTCTGTTTTTTAATTGGCATATAGGGAGGCTTGTTTGTTTTTGTTGTCTGCTGTTTCTTAAATGTGTGTGTTCGTGTTCATGTGGCCCCCGGTGTCCCAACAAGCACCGCGGCGGATGTTGGGAGGCGCATTCTGCGACACACACACACACACACACACACACACACACACACACACACACACACACACACACACACACACACACAGGCGAGGAATTGCAGCAGACGAAAAAACGGATGACACACATAAACCCACAAAGACAACAAATACACAAAAGTCGCAGCAGTGGTCCGCGGTGTCTTCTCGTTGAGCGCCATCTAGCGGCGGGTTGCAGCTCAGCGTCTCTTTAAAATCATCAACTTGTTCCTAACAGTTCAGTTTGCGATGTGATGAATAAAAACCATAAAATATAACATTACTTTCGATTACGTTTTGAGAATTAACAAACTTTAATTCTTAAAAATAACGGTATGACTCATCAGTTTCAACACCAACAATCTAATTGTAAAAATAACAAATATGTCGAAGCTAAAGATAAAGTACAACATTTGACCGTGATGAAAACATTTGAATAGTCTTTGAATGACTAGTGATGTTAGTAAAAGTACTTGTAGTACTTGGTATCTATGTACATTCACAGTTGTACTGCAGTGATATCGGCAGTGATATTAAACGTTGTACTGATTGTAAAAGTAGTTACAGAAGCAGTAGTATAAGTTTAATAGTGAAAGTATCGAGCGTTAGTTCATTTGATGTTTAATATTTGTACCCTGATTTCTTCTCTTAATGTTTCACGTCATCAATGAACCAGAAAACCGGAAGTGACCATATAAGGATTGAGGAGGACAAAGAGACGCGCTATATGACACCTGTCAATCACAGTAGCCCCGCCCTAAAGCGTCCCCTGCTTTATGGTCTGTTTGACTCTGAATGGACCATAATTCACTAAATGAACATCATGTTGTGTTGAAGAAGACTTGAAACTAGAGACTGAGACATAAACTCGTGTTTACAATGTTTACTGAGGGAATAAATCCAGAGAGAAGTAGAGTCATTTCCTCATAGACGTCTATGGGAGCAGAGGAGTCGCCCCCTGCTGGTCACTACAGAGAATGCAGCTTTAACACGTGAGGAATTCAGAATTAGAGGTTGAGGTTTGTTTGGTACAAACTGCCAATTCTAAAAAAGGACTATAGATTAGATACATGAGAGAAATTAAAGAGAATGATCATCATGAAGGTTCATTATTAAAGTGTTATCTTGTAAACCAAATAAAGAACAACATCTCCAGGTAGATTTTAAAATATCTTTATTGAAACATGATCCAGAGAAGCAGGAGGAGTGAAGCCACTGAAGTGGACTCAGAGGACGCTGAGCTGAGACGCGTCTCCCCGCTGGCAGCATCAGACCTGTGACCTTTCACCCACAGGGCGGGTGGCCGGGCCACGGTCCTCATTAAAAGAAAACCAGATGTCCACTAAAGGTGGGATTCAACTCCTCAGAACAGGTGATCTCCACTCAAATAGAAGTGCTGAGGAAGTAATCTTACTTTGTGCAATCTGTGGAGGAACAATTAGGCTGGGTGTGTAAACGTGATGGCTTTCATAGAGCAGTATGGTTAGCTTAGCTTAGCACAAGGTCGGAGGCTTGTGGGGGGGCAGCAAAGAATGGTTCTTTAAAGGCAAGTGTATATCTACAGGTACACAATCCCATAGGAGCAGCCTTTTAGTTATTCACTCTGATATATGCAGTATTTCAACATACGACTAAAGTAAAATAAAATGTGGAATATTCTCATTTTCTTTGCGTGTGGCTCTTTATATTTAAAGATATCTCTGGATCTGTATGAATGAATATGCATTCATGTAGGACACTAAGCAGTCTCAGAGTAGCGCATGCCGTTTGGTGACGAGTATGATGAATATACAATTTAGAAGACAAGGCCACAGAGGCTTCAGAGGAACAGCCCTTACTGGTTAGCTGTGTAATAACAGGGTAATAACAGGGTAACAACAGCGTAACAACCCTGATACAAGTTGCTCTCCTTTGGGACTTGGAGACGCCGTCCTGCTTATCGGTAAACAGGCGTCTCCCCGGGGGGCCTTTTCTCAACCGTACGGCGGTAAACTGTCGACTGGGGGATTAGCGCTGATCGCCGCGCCGCCCACCGCGCGCTCGCTGGGAAAAAGGCTGCAGGAGGAAAAAATGTCCGTCTGAATGCTCGAGTGCCAAAGTATCAAGCGCTTTGCGGCGGACGTCTTGTTTCATGAGGAGCACAAGTTGAAATGCCCTCAGTTGTCGGCGCGTGGACGCCACAGAACCCTTCGTGAAGCGCACACGTCTCACTGCCATGGCGACATTGGACCAACGGGGCGAAGAGCGCGGTTCTCACTGTTTACATGGCTTTTCTCTCCCTGTTAGTCCATCTTTGTTTTTATTGTCTACGTCCACACTGGACTCACACCTGAAAAGTGAAAACATGAACCTAAACAAGACTAAATATATTTAGAAGCGTTCAACCTGGTAGTTTTGTGGTATTGGTGCATGTTGAGGATTTTGGGTGGGTTTCCGTTTGGAACGCCCCCCTCTGGTCTGCATCCTCAGCGTTCTTCAGAGGCGTTTGATTTCTCCAAAGAGAAGACATTCATAGCTTTAAATAGTTACATCACACCAACACTGACGACGCTTTCATGCTTTCTGTGAATTCAGCTGTGACTCTTAATAACATTCAATGGGTTGTGATCAGGTCAAACCCAGCAGGAGCTTTTCATTGAGGTTCTTCATCGTTTATCTTCATCTGAATGAAGTTTAGAATCTGAGGAAACAATCATGAAATGAACCAGCAGCCGACATCTGGTGAAATGTGTCATTGGCGTCTTTCTACCCGTTGATTTGGTTCTGCTTCTTGGTCTGATGGGGATCATCCTGCATGTATAGAGGTCATTAAGAGGAAAATACTCGGTGGAAACCTTCGTGTTTTCTGCGTTGATAAAAGCTGCGTCTGTTTCTGATCGTCTGACCCAAAAAGTGCTGCTTTTAGTTTCTCCCCAAATGATGTAAACTGTGCTTTCCATTCCCCAAAGAGCGAATAGGTACTATGACTCTCAGTTCACAGATCGATGATTTCACTCATCATAAAACCACAGATTGTTTTGTTATACAGAGATCTTCTAGTTTTGTGCGTTGCGATCTCCATCATTTCCAACCCAATGAACGGGTACGATCATTTGTCTTATTCGACTGTATTAAACAGGGACCACGTGTCAAGTTTCTTCTTTTATAATAGTCAACACAACTTGATTTTTATCCCAAAACTGATCTAACGACCACAAGAAAATAATCACAAAACGTCAACGAAAGAAGGATCTCCGAATAAAGACATAAAATATAAAGAAATCCCCACTTTGGGATCCCAGAGGAAGAATCTGTTGAAAGCTAAATAACATTCCTCCTCTAGAAGTGACATGAAGAGATGTCTGCGCTGAAAAGAGGACGGGATGAAATCACTACTGTTACCGATAATCAACAGGGATCTTAAATAAATCATCACCTTGTTACCAGGCAACAGGTACATGATGACAAAATAAATCCTTTCAAGAATCTCTACTGCGAGATTAAAAAAAGAATGATCTTAATTTCATTGAGTAGAAAACGGCTGCAGAGATCTCTCATAATAATAATAATAATATCTGAAGTGGGATATTTAGTCTTGTAGTGAAAGCCATGTGCTTCCTTAATATCTTACTAATAACGTATTTGAATCTGAGATTTATTGTTACATCATTACGTTTGGTCTTTTTCAATCGTCTCCTTCTTCCATCTGATTTGTGCTTTTTTCTTTCTTCCTTCTGACAGCCGCTGCTTCTCCTTTGGTGTCGGGAGCTCCGTCCTCACAGTTCACTGACCCTCTCGCTGAGGGTCTCCAGCTCCTCCTCACGCTCCTGGTAACGCTCCAACAGCGGCCCGCCGGCGCCGCGGGGCCCGTTGGCCAGGTGGGCGGGGTAGTCGAGGCCGCTGAGCTGGGCGTGGTGATGCCAGCGCAGGTCGTCGCTCTCGTGGGTGATGTAGCGCTCGTTCATCCGGGACTCCAGGTTCCTCAGGTCCAGCCACATCTGGTAGTCCTGGTGGGGAAAGCAAGTGCACCCTCAGACAGACTAGTGCCATTTGTGCCTGTTTTTTCTTTTATCGCCACCAAAAAATGTCGACTTGATGGTTTTCCTTTGTGCCGGATTACAGAACACTAGATTCATGAAGCGTTTTGCAGAGAAGAACTCCTTACTTACTTACTCCGTTACTTTAAGGAGATAAAATCTCTTTCTAGTCGTAAAACCATGAAGACCTAAATGGCACCACCTCCATTGCACTATTTCACCCCACTGCACCATCTACTTTGCTCATGGGTTTATAGTCAGGGCCGGCTGAGGTGTATTTGTGATTTTGGAAAATATTGAATTCAATTGAATTACTCGGTAAAAATGTACTTTAGTCTGATGTTCATTGTTAAAAGTTAAAGCCTTAGCCTTAATTATTTATTTTTATTATTCAGTGAGTTTTCAGTGAGAAGGAAGGTGGACGACCATTCTTGCTCTAATGCATTCAGAAGCAACAGCGAGGCAGAACCTGGTTACCTGTAACCAGGGGTGACTGAGGGTCTTGTCCACGCTGTACCTCTTCCTCATCTTCACCTGCAGCAGGTTGTTAATCAGGTCAATCGCTGCAGGGGGGGAAGGAAAGAAACGAGGCGGTGAGCCAGAGCAATGATGAGGTGAAGCAAGTGTCCAGCGGAGGGAGGGATGAGGAGGGGGACGAGGACGTACAGCTCCCCCGCCCCCCGTGGTGAGGGGCCAGTCGGGGCTAATGAGCAAAGCTAACATGATGTTAACATTTCTTCAGGGGTCAGCAGTCTGAACAGCTCGAGGACCCTGGGGCCCCTCAGGTCTCCGGAGGCCTCCATCGCTCTGCATTATGCACATGAATAGATTGGCGCATGAATACCCCCCCGAACCTGTCCGTCTCGCTCTCTTTCCAGGAACCGCCCGGACTCTCGCTGCCTTTCAAGGCTTTTTTTCCAGCACTGCCTCATTCCTCTTTTTTCTCTCAGCTGAGTCACATGACCAGCCAGTTAATCCGCATTTCTGTAAGAGCGGAGCCGAAGGAGGGCGACGTCCGACCAGCCGCTCGGAGGAGCAGGTCTACAGCCCTCACACACATTCCATCGCTATTACCATTAACGGCTTTTATTTCGTTTATTAATCTTTATAAATCTCTCTAGGACGTTGTCCTCCAGAGTGCCTGATTGACTGAGACTCAAAATATCAAACTGAAAAAAAGTAGTGTCAGTGACAAAATGTTTTATATACATTTTAAATAGTGAATTAAATTATCAATAAAACATACATTTAGTGTTTAGCTGTTAGTGTGCTAACCCTGCAATAATCTTAATAAACAACACAAAAAACTACGCCTCTCAAAGTGAAGTCAAAGCTTTATGTCTCAAAGCTGCATTCTGTGTAGTGACCGGCAGGGGGCGACTCCTCTGCTCCCATAGACGTCTATGAGGAAATGACTCTACTTCTCTGTAGTGACCAGCAGGGGGCGACTCCTCTGCTCCCATAGACGTCTATGAGGAAATGACTCTACTTCTCTGTAGTGACCAGCAGGGGGCGACTCCTCTGCTCCCATAGACGTCTATGAGGAAATGACTCTACTTCTCTGTAGTGACCAGCAGGGGGCGACTCCTCTGCTGCCATAGACGTCTATGAGGAAATGACTCTACTTCTCTGTAGTGACCAGCAGGGGGCGACTCCTCTGCTCCCATAGACGTCTATGAGGAAATGACTCTACTTCTCTGTAGTGACCAGCAGGGGGCGACTCCTCTGCTCCCATAGACGTCTATGAGGAAATGACTCTACTTCTCTGTAGTGACCAGCAGGGGGCGACTCCTCTGCTCCCATAGACGTCTATGAGGAAATGACTCTACTTCTCTGTAGTGACCAGCAGGGGGCGACTCCTCTGCTCCCATAGACGTCTATGAGGAAATGACTCTACTTCTCTCCTGATTTATTCCCTCAGTAAACATTGTAAACATGAGTTTATGTCTCAGTCTCTAGTTTCAAGTCTTCTTCAACACAACATGATGTTCATTTAGTGAATTATGGTCCATTCAGAGTCAAACAGACCATGAAGCAGGGGACGCTTTAGGGCGGGGCTACACGCTGATTGACAGGCGTATACGCAACTTGAAATCCTCCTCAGTCTAAATATGGATAATTGTTCACTGGTTGCAACAAATCAATACATCCACTTCAAGTACATCGTTTGTGTGATATCTTAAGGTTACTCCTACTTTTGTGCTCTTTCCTACACAAAAATCTTTTAAAATCAACTTCTCTCCCGATCATGTGTCATATGTGACACAAGGAGGAATTCCTCTTGGTGATTGGTGAGATATAAAAATAAAATAAGCTGCAGAATTAAAACATAAACAGATAACAGATAAGTAAGTTAAATCACATATGTGTGTACACATGTTTCCATGGTGAGAAACTGGAATCGACTCAGTGAGGGTTTAGGACACCTTTAAAGTACTTGTAACGGATTGTTGCCAAAATGTTTAGGTTTTTATTGTGAAAAGGCTTAAATGTGTTGCTGGACTAGAGAATGAAAACAGTCATTTTTATAAGACATCAGGTTTGTCGCTTTCATTCCTCAGTCTTGTTGAACCAACAGTTTTGTCCTGTGTGTTTTAGATTAAGAGTTTGTACAAGATGAAAGCTTCAGAGACATAGAGACGTATGACGCAGTCCTCTGAGACATCAAACTTCCCCTAAACGCACCATTTGAAGTTATAATAGACACAACTGAAAGCGTATCTCTATTTCACTCTTATTAAAGCGTAACATCTTCCTGTGCAGGAAGCTGCATATTACTCAGTTCTTTCTCAACATATCAACACAAAGTGTCATTACACAACATTATAAAAGATTAATCGTGTTTGTGGGCAGACAAATAAACTGGCCACAGAATCTATTTAAAGGGAAAAGCAGAGTTGGTGACGCACTACATACTTTTCTCTGACATGCATCCCCCCGACGGCCGGGTGGGGGGCTCTCCTGAGAGGACTCGGCCCTCCGGTGCATCCGACCCGAGTGAGTCAGGCTGATTTAAAGACGAATCCGGCTGGCATAGGTTGATGGGGGCGGGCGCATTTAGAAATAGTGACGACAACAACAACATGAGGGGATACGATACGGGAGGACTGACGAACTGGAGAAGAACAACCACTGAGTCACAGCAGGAAGCGTTGGCCGGGTTTGCTGTGGCTGCTCTCTGAGGAAAAGGTGATCAAGGACCCTCGGCAGCGTGGTACCGGCGCTCTTTCCGTTGGATCAGAAGAACATTCAACACTTCCTTCTAATCCTCGCTTGTGCTCCTGGACCTTCAGGCGTCCCTTGATTGACACTTCAAACCCCTAGAAGCTTCCAGACCTCCACCCCACCATGATAATGAACCTGAACAAGATGTTACACCACCCAGAGTCCAGGTTATCAGGATCATCCAGAACCTTAAAGTTTACAGGTTAACAGCTCAGGAGCAAAGAAAGTCGCTTGAGAATTGGGGGCGGAGCTTCGTATGGGTCTGATCTGAACGCGATTGGACATCGGGTTCTCCCAGCGAGAACCTACATACCTTCCTGGGAGACCTTCTTCCAGGGATGAGGAGGGTACATAAAGGCGGCGTTCTGGATCTGATCGTTGATGTCTTCGTCCTCGTTGAACGGGAACGTTCCGCTGAGACTGAAGAACACGACAAAAAACATATCGCAATCCACAATTTTGAAACTCACGCACATTTCGTCTCAGATATTATAGTTTGCTTTCATGTTGAAAAGAAATAAAGAGAACACACAAACAGGTGAGGCTCCCACCTGACGTAGATGATGACGCCCACCGACCACATGTCCAGAGAGCGGTTGTAGCCCTTGTTCCTCAGGACCTCGGGGGCGAGGTACGCCGGCGTTCCCACCACCGAGCGCCGGAATGACTTCTCGCCGATGATCCGGGCGAAGCCAAAGTCACAGAGCTTTACCTGGAACGAGGGGGCGGAGCTTGGTGAAGCCAAATGGAGACACAACTTGCTCGCCTTAGACAATAAATATCTGTTGGCTGTTGTGAATGAAGAAATGTAAAATCCTTATGGTGTCAAATTAAAAGTCTGGCGACAATTTTGAGAACAATTAAAAAAAGAGAAAAAGTGTAACGACAATGACTTTGTCATTAGGGTCCAAGCCGACTGAGAGTCTATTGTGTTTCGAAAGATTATTATTATTCTTTTACCACTTTAATCGCACTTTTGAGGCCTTTATCGTATTCAAAAACTCTTGAATTTTGGCATGCGCATCAGAAGTGCAAAAAATTTGGAGACGTTTCGGGGTCGCGCGTTTGGCTGTGAAAAAATGTCTCTCTAGCGCCCCCTCTGCTAGAGAGGGCTCCCTCTGGGGAGATTTTTTCCCAGTCTCACCGATTGACTTGTAATTTTGCTCCAGGAAAACATCAATCGTGGTATGCAAATGCACCGAACTAGATTTTCCGCCCTTTTGAATTTTTGTGAAAAACGTTTTTTTGCGTTTTCGATTATTGGGCGCCTTTAAACATTCTGATATCTCATTTTGTTTAGAAGTTATGGACCGATGACGTTTGTAAAGGGTGTGAATTGAAGACTTATAACTTAATCGGCCTGTCCTCACCAAATCTCTAGGATATGTTCACATTAAGTCCGTGAGAATAACCTCATTCTCAGAATATTTCAACATTAGCAGTCATTCTCTGAATTTTTGCTTGTTGTTTCCTATTTCCATCGTATTTTTGATTTATAAATGAACTAACTCCTCCGAGAGTTAAAACCCGATTGATTTCAAATTCAAACAAATTGATCCTGACACCTCAGTGGTCGAGAGTGATCAAGATCAGTTTCCTGCAACTACCTGGGCGTGGTCTGGCATCCATTTTGGTCGATTTTCGTTGATTTTCTTAAAAATGTAAAATTCCAAGGAACTTTTTGCGTATTTGGGTATAAAAAATGGCTCTCTAGCGCCCCCTTTACATGTTTTATTTTGGCCAATTAGCTTACTTCCCCCCCTGATCACCAATAGACTTCACACAGGTGCTCTTGGACGTGCTCTACAATAAAAGTCAATCATGGTATGCAAATGCTCATATTTAGATCTCCCACCATTTAGAATATTGTGAAAAACCCATTTTTGCAAACTCCTCCCAGACGCAGGGTCCGATTGTCCTGAAATCTTCAGGGAATGATTATCGGCTCAATGCCTTTAAACACCAAGTAACATTTTTTGATACCTCATTTTGTTTAGAAGTTATGGACCAATGAATTTGTTAGGGGTGTGGCCTAATAAATAAAGACCTTTAACGTCAAAAGTAATTGGCCTGCCAAATCTCTAAAATATGTTCACATTGAACATAGGAATCACCCTAAAATATTACGTTAAATGTAAGAAAATAGGGTTAATGTGAAAAATAACAGCTGAATTGTCAAAACTAAATTAAGCAAATTGTAGGAAATGGTTTTAATGTATTTGCTGTATAAAAGATTGATCCTGATACTTATTTAATCCTCGTTAATAATTACAATTACATCATCCGCCGCAAACTAAAGACACACCTCTTCAGACTGAACCTCGACTAAAAACACTAAGAAATTTTACCACTTAAATTTGACTTATTACCTCTTAAATTGAAATCGGCTCATTTAATGAAATTGCACTTTGTTCTTTTGTGTTTGTATTCTTATGGTTGAAATGCACTTATTGTAAGTCGCTTTGGATGAAGACGTCAGCTAAATGACATGTAATATTATTATAAAGGGTCTGCATATTCAATCCCAGAACTCAAAGGATTCAGTTCCTCACACACACACACACACACACACACACACACACACACACACACACACACACACACACACACACACACACACACACACACACTACCTGTGGAAATGCGTCTGCAGAAGCCAGCAGCACGTTTTCAGGTTTCAGGTCACAGTGGACGATGTTTTTGAGGTGGAGGTGACGCAGAGCCACGAGGATCTGAGGGTGACACATGCAGAGGCACACACACACACACACACACACACACACACACACACACACACACACACACACACACACACAGCACTTTAATAATTCAACAAGAGAGTGGATTAACACGGTGGATTAACTCCACTACGAGTTTTCTGACTGAAGACGATGGGCGTAACCAAGGTGACCACGTGACACGGAGGCTCTTCTCGTATTGGTCCTGAGCTACAGCTCCGTTCTAAAGCACCAAGGGAGCGTTGGAGACGGACTGGGGAGTTTAAGGAATCTGTGCCCGGTCGGCCTCGTGAGGCAGGCTCCTCTCTGGAGGTCTGTCGTCAAAATAAAGCCGAAAAGATGGTTCAATTATAATCAACTCAATATTTATTCTATAACTTGTATCGTATTATATTGTTTAGAACAGAACCCAGTTCAGTCACAGTGGGACTCACACACCAACATTGAATTGAATAGAGCCTCAGCGGGATTGAACCGCCGTTCTGCCATTTTGTTCTCCTGCTCGGCGCGTTCCCACAGAGACTCTCCGCAAGTCATCGATTCCGCGCTCAGCGATTGGCTGAGACCGCAACCGGAACCCTTCATAGCGCCACAAACCACACATCCTACTGCATTTCCTGTTTCCTGCCACTCAGCCCTTCCTGCCCGCCCCCTGGTCCTACGCACAGTGAAAGCAGACTAAAGCTCTTTAAAATGTTCTCAAATCAACCTGAAGCTCTTCGCATGGTGTTCCTGTCGGTCAGCAAAACCACCTTAATTCATGTCCCCTGAGGAGGACGAGGAGGAGGACGGATGTCGTTACCTGGGCGACCATGAACTTGGTGATCCTCTCGGGCAGTCGTCCCTTCTCACTGGAGAGGATCATCTCCAGCATGTCTCCGTGGAGCTTCTCCATGACCACGAACACCCGCTCCGGGGTCTCGAACATGCAGTCCAGGTTGACGACGCCCAGGTGGTGCAGACTCTGCAGGGCGGAGGAGTCCAGACGATTCAAAGAGCGTCATACCCATTAACCATCTGGACGCACGGACGATGTCACATTACGCTTTTCAAGTCATAATCCGGGAACCAATCAGAATGGAGCCTTTTATCAACTCAAATGACTAGTGGAAACTTTTTATCAGTCAGATTTGTGTCATCAACTCAAATAACGACATTTCTCCTGATGAGTCGTAACGGTCACGACTGCTTCGTAATTTGGGATTTTCTTTCAGGTGTCTCTGAATAACGAAGCAATAATGGAGTAAATACCAGAGACCCGAGGAGTGTGTGTGTGTGTGTGTGTGTGTGTGTGTCTGCGTCTGCAGGTTGAACAGCGCTGGAATATTACAGGATGTCACACCCCCACGGCGTTGCCACGGTAATGAAGTCGTTCACGACAGGAAGTCTCGCTCGCGGCCGACAGGCTCCGCTGTGAGTGAGTGTGTGTGTGTGTGTGTGTGTGTGTGTGTGAGTGTGTGAGTGTGTACCTGCAGGATGGCCACCTCGTTGCGTAGCTGGCTCTCCTGCTTGGTGGGGAAACGGAGTTTGTCGATGATCTTGATGGCGACGTCTCGGCCGGACTTTCTGTGTTTACCTGAAGAAGAAGATAACGATCACTCTTCTTCTTCTTATTGATCGTCTTTCATACTCCAGGTACAGGTTTCATCTACTGATCCGTCCACCTTGACCCTCTCCCCACAGGACCTCCACTTGGGGTCTAAAGGTCTAAAAGTCTGAGGGTCTGAAGGTCTGAGGGTCTGAAGGTCTGAGGGTCTGAAGGTGGCCTCTCTCAGTCTTTTACCTCCGTACACGATGCCGAACTGACCCGAGCCCAGGACCTCGTCCGGGAAGATCTGATACACCGAGTTGATGTCCTGCGGGAACAGAAGAAGAAAGTTCACAATCTGAAGAGGAGAAGAAGAATAACAGGAAGCCTGCGAGATGACTTCAAAAGAGCTTTTGGAACTTTTACTGAAAAGTGTAGGAATGCAGATAATAAAGTGAGAGGTGGCGTCTGCATCGAAAGATGTTTGATGCAGCGTCTATATCAAATAAGGCATTATTTTAGTTTCATGTGGTTGACACATAAGAGTCAAAGCTTTCATAGACCTGAAATTCTGTCGTATGGAGAACATTTTAAAATATTTCCTCCATATTCTTATTAATATATGTATTAAAATGCGTCTTTTAATGACGTGTTAATAAACCCGTCTGTAGAACCTCCACAATCCAGAGAGGAGTGAAGAAGTTACGTGATGAAGCTCCTGAAGAAGACTCACATGGCCGACATGATGGAGACACTACAGATGAAGAGGGTCAAAGGATTAAAGAGTAGATATCAACGTGAAACTTCACCACTCCATCACTGCATTAGTTGTGTTGCAGGTTGTATTTAACAGGCGGGAGAAGCTCTGCTTCTCCCCGGGGGAGACATGAAAGCATCTGAAGTGGAGGAGCGCGCCGTCACCTGGTGGAGTTCTTCCAGAAAAGCTCCTTCTTCTCTTATCTATTTGAGTATGTGTCGCGCCCGGGTGGAAGTGGCGTGGGGAAGGGGGGGGGTTCCGCAATCGCAACCCCTCCCCCCCAAAGTTATAAAACAAAGCCGTTTCATATTTTTTTACCTATTGATCCAAGAAGGTTCCCTCTTTTTCTCTCCCCCTCACCGGCACGCGTGATAAGCCCCACCCTTTGCGGCGAGGGTAGGGATACGTATTATTACGCCCCGACCCCGCCTTGGGGATCGCGTCGACAAAGAGGCGGTTTTTAACAAA